TGTATATTTATAATGCTGATGCCAACATCTGTATTTTGTAGTTTGTTATTTCCCATTTTTGGATTATATAAAAAAAACAAAAAAAACAATCACTTTGTATTTAGATTGGTAAGCTTTTGGTTTTTGGGAATATAATGGAATCAAGGATCATCTTTTTATTTATTTTTTTTCTTTACATACATTGATGTGTCAAGGTTACCAGCCTTGTGCCTCTTCATTTCCCATCATCTGTTAACTGTTCCATGTGTCACTATGAACATTCAGTAGTAGCTGCTGTTGACAAAAACTTACTTCATATAGAGTAAGAGGACAAGGAGTACCCAAAACGTGCACTTTCATGAACCCTGTTTCTTTTTCTTAGAAAGGGAGAATAGTTTGTAATATGTTTAAAGTACAATAAATAATAATATTTTGATCACAATTGTTTTGTTATCTTGTGCCTGGATGGAAATATTGCAAGTTACACTTTCATTAAAGGCAGCGAGAGTCAATACCTGCTTCACCTAAATCATAGGATATCCAATGCGCCATGATGGGCAGAGAAAAGGTTTTGTAAACATAAAACATAATTTAGTTTTACTCATCAACACAATGAGTGACAGACTTAAAAACACTGCATATGAAATTCTTCACATCACACACACTTACCTTAAAGAAAACAGTCAGACTTTTCCAGTATTTCACCTCATTGACCCTATGAATGCATGGAGTGCTCCACCAATCAGCTTTACAACAGCAGCCATTGTACAAGTCCCCCTTCATGAATGTATCTGGCATCTACACTGCATTAGCAATGCAGACCATTCTTTACAACTAGAGCAGAGGAGCAAATTTGTATTCTGTAACACAAAACCGATGTCTCCCGACCGACAAATTAGCACTCACTGTGACTTCAAATGGGGAGGAAAATAAAATAAAAAACAAAACCTAAATGTTTCCTGATAGATTCGCTTGGGGATGAAGTAAAAGATGCAGCATTAGTTATGCAAGTATGCAGTAAAACGTGAGACTTTTACAATGGCTACATCTGTTTCTGCAAAACATACTGTAAAGACACTTACACAGTTTGATGGGAAATTATGCAAACCTGTTCACAAAGAGCAAAGAGTCTGGTTTTGATGCAGCTGCACAGTAGGTTGACATCTATACTGTTGATGTTACTACCAAGACTATGCTACTTAGGTATTTTACACAGAAGCGTACAGGTTGGATGAGGATTTGCACACTGCATTACTTCCTTAATGTGCGTTATGGAAAGCTCCCAACATTTTCAGTGATTAAGAATAGCAAGACTCCTCTTTTCTTAAGGTAAATGAGGTGAGCAAGGTCTTCCCACTAGTTCATTGTGTTTTTGTTGCACATGTTTTGTCAGTCACTGCAACGCAACATGCCCTCCCACCCATCATCTCTTTCCTCCCTCAACAGGGAGTGATTCCTCATAATGCCTACATTTGCTTCATCATCCACTACCAATGCTCAGCTGTGAGACACGGGGAAGCTACATAGGACTACATGAAGAACACAACACTTCAACTAATGCACAGTGCAAATAGGCTTCTCCCCCTTTCTTCCATCTCTCCAGCCTCCAGAACCAAACAGGCATTGAGGAGAGTAAGAGGGGAAAGGATTAATTCTGGACAGTGCCCCTACTGGCAGGCAGCCGTTCTTCTTTTAGTTTAATTTTTGGTCTTCCTGGAACTTTTCTGCCTTGGGGAGGTGGAGTGACTAAGGAGCAGGAGGGTAGGGGTCTTGGGAGAGGGTTCTACTTGTACAGGCTCATCGTCGGGCTCTGGTACATGCACATATAAGCATCACACAGGAGGCGTCGGGCCTGGCCCTGGATGCTTTTGGGATCAAGGGTGTGCAGCTCCTCTGGGGTCATTTTCAGGTAGGCTTCCACTTCCGGACAGGGAGAAACTTGCGGGATGTTGAAACCATTCTGCCCTCCTGAAAAATCGCAAGCAAGGTCATTAGAGCCAGCAGAATGGACACAACAAAGCTAGGTCATGACTAAAATGCCTCTTCAATTTTAATTAAATGCAATCACTATTTGTTGATATAAATTTTACAACAACGTCCTTAAAAAAAAGGTGAAACTATAAAGCTGTTATCAAGTTACCGGTGGACAGTAGCACAATCTCATAAGAAAGCAACAAAAATGCTACATAGCAGCTTATGCACTAGAGGTTAATTAAATATTTCTTGGCATCTTAACAAACAATTGTTTGCTTATTTGTATAAATAGTTTTTAAATTATTGTGGATCGTAGTTTTGACATTAAACAAAGAAGAGGTTTTTTGTTTTTTTAAACGGTAGTAACTTCAGTCAAAATTTACAAAAACAACATCAACAGGCCATCACACGCACCATCGCGGTCGGCCATGCTGTCGAAGAAGAGCCAGGCTGAATCTGCGCTGCCGTACTTGACGAAGGCCACGTAGTGACTGGTTTCGATGCACAGCACGGCGAACAGCTCCATCCTCTGGCGGGGAAAACTGCCCTGACGGCCTGTACTTTCTTGTAGCTCCTTGGGAACGGACAGTTTGCCGTGTCGATGGGCTTTTCTCCTCGGATGGAGGTGAACCTAAATCAGTACAAGCACATATCCCCCGCGTCATACACCATTTGTTACACTGGCCTTTTAGTGACAAACAAAATATGTTAAACATGTTATTAGAAATATTCCACAGTTATTTAAGAAATATATAAAGGAGATTAGAGGAAACAAAAGTCTTCCAGGAATCCTACTGCCATACAAATTATTTGAAAAAGAAAAAAAAAAAAATACAAAGAGTTTGTTAAACTTAACACTGAACCACACTGAACATTTCTTTGGATTTGGCGCCACCAAATGGCTGATTCTGGCATAGACTTTAAAACTTGTTTCGGGTTGAAGTAATGCTGCAACAATGCCTTGAGTTATTTACCTGTGTATTGCACTTTTCACAGAACTGTTTAATCTTGCCAGCAGTGATGTCCCCGTCCTCATAACAGTCTCGGCACTCGTAGAGAGCCAGGCCTCCGCAGATACGACATTCCCTTGGAGCTGGATAAGAAAACACAAACCTTTATCACTGCCGACACACTGTACCAAAGTTAAATTCTTCAAAACGTTGAGAGCAAGCTGGAAAGCAAGAAAAATTGGTTCCTTTATCTCAGCTGAGCTGAAGTGACAACTGAGTGGAAATTCATTACCAAATGCCACATACAGCTTTGAATCACCACTGACCAGCACATTACAGATCTAGACTGGAAATAAATATTAGCTACTCACTGTCTTCAAGAAGATCTGTGATGTCCAGTTCCAAGGAGGGAAAAATTTTGTTGAACATTTTGAAGTCTTTGCCAAAGCGGGGCATTTGGATAATTAGGCAGGAAGGAGCCTAACAGAGAAAGAGAACCCATAGGTGGTCGTCTATAAATGTCCAAGTCATAAAATAGGAACTGAGACTATCGTGCTACAGACAAATAAGAGGAAGTCTTTCCAACAACAGGAAAGAAAGAGAGGATATTAAATACATAATATACGGTTCAAACTGTGTAATCGTTAATATCTGGAAATATATGTCTTATTTTAAAGGAAAGGTGCAACTTCTGTAGCACATGCTGGAGTAAAACTGAAAAACGTTTCTGGTCAAGTAAATTAAACACTCCAAAAACATTTATAAATAAGTATATATCAATGTAATATTTCAGTTACAACGTCTTGATTCAAACTCTTTTTTTCTTTGAATCTTAAAAAAAAAAAAAAGATTAATTAGTATATAAAATGTTTTTAGACTTGCAAAAAAAGGTTTTCAAACAGCTGGTTAGAGTCCAGATTTTGGGTACATCTGCTCACATTTGGTCAAAGACTCTACCCAATGGGCACCCACCAGACCAGTCAATGCACTATAATATCAAACTTTTGAAAATAATTCAAATAAACCTCTGCAAACTTTAGGTCGCTGTTGATGAAAGACCATTCCAGGAGCTGCTGGATGGTGGGAACGCCGACCTTGTCCTTCTTATCCATGAAGATCTGGTAAAAATAACAGTCTTGGACCTTTTGACCTGCTGACCTAGAAAACAACAGCAAAGTCTTTGTTCAATGATCTTCCTTCCTCAAGGAAAAACTAATTGTGTACAGCTCTTGGAACCTCTTTATGAACTGTGCGCGTTTTCCTAAAAAATGATACAGCAAAGAGCAATTTTTACTTATATAAGATGAAAAATGCCAGTACCAATATTTGTAACAATTTATAAAAGAAGTAAAAATTGTCTCAGAATTTGTGAAATATGAGCAGGAGGTGAAAGATCAACATAAACAGAAATTTTTAACATGTTTTTAAAATCAGGCTGTTTGACATTTAACAGCTCAAAATCTAACATTTGTTTCACTATATCTGCATGTCTCTGATAGACTGTAAAATCAGATTAAAGATTGTCGGTAGCATTCATTCCGAGTTCGGCAACTTGTAATGACACAGCTTAACAACTCATGTACAGCAAAACAACAGTCATAAATGATGACATCCAACTCTTTAAGTCATATAGTCTGCCCATCGGAATTTCAAAGATTTGTAAATAAAACCGCAACATTAGTTTTCAGTCTGTCAGAAAAATTCCCACAGTCCAACCACTTTGCCCATGTTGTAACCCATAAAGGTTCCAGTGTCAAGAACTGTGGTATAAATTTACATATTACAGATTTAGACACCTGGTTTAGTGCTGTTGTGACTATATTTCCACTGTCTGGTAATGCACTGATAATCAGGGGGAAGTTCTTTATGGCACATCATAACCCTAACCTTTAATATTATTTTTGTGTGAAAAGTATTGAATTGTTTCAGACAATTTTTTTATTACCATCCCTAACTAATTCTTTATGAAAAGCAAAGTAATACCATGTTTTAGCAATTAAAGACTGTTTAGATGGAGGGATGGTGCTTTCTGGGTGTTTTTTGTTTAAGAAATGTCATTTAAATGACTTTGAGCATAGCATGGTTGTGGGTGCCAGACAGCCTGGTCATAGTATTTCAGAAACTATGGCTCTATTGGGATTTACCCACACAACAACGTCTAGAATTTACAGAGAATTATTTGAAAAAAGAAAATATTCAGTGAGAATCAGTTCTCTGGATAAAAATACCTCACTGCCAGGTCTCTCTTGGAAATGGGATTTTTAATCTCAATGAGATTTTTTACCTGGTTAAATAAAGGACTAATAATTTATGTCAGAGGTCAGATGAAACTGCTTCAAGCTAATAGCAAGGACCCAGTAACTCAAATAACCAGTTTTTTAACCAGTGTATGCAGAAGAGCGTACCTTGGTCAAAGCCTAGAGTTCTAGACCACACTAGAGGTAACACTTTTGTCACTAAGAATGGGAAACCAATGCTGCTATCCACAAAGGTTCATCAAAACTGGGTAATAGAATATTGCCTCATCTGATAAGTATTTTTTTTTTAAGTTTACAAGATTCACATGGATGTCTAGCTGACAAAAAATGCATGAACATTGTTGATATCATGTCAAAACAAGTCAACATCTTAGAAGAATTTTTCAAAATGTATATAGTATATTAACCAAGTACTATCAAGGTGTATCTAATGAAGTGGCCAGTGAGCATACATTCTCTCCATGGCTTAATCAGTTTTCTTCTTGGTGTCTGAGACAGTCACTTTTGGAATAGTAAAATATTTTAATTTTACAAAACCTATCAATTTGGGTAAATAATTTTCTTTTGGTATTTGTTTTTTTAATCTTGAAAAAAAAGTAAATTACATAAACCTGTATTTCCTTGGAATTTACAGATTTTCACATTTAGTTGTAAGTTACTTGGCCTTTACCTTAGCTTGAGCAACGGATCCACCCTCAGTATGTGATGGAAAAGGATATTGAGGAACTCCTCAGGATCTGCAATGCAAAATTAACTGAAATGAGTTTTGAGGCAATATTTCTGCACAAATGCCACCATAAA